ACTAAAGGATAATGTTCACACTCAATTTGCAATAATTGCACATTTCTTTTATCAAGACACATAACCAATATAATCTCTCAAATCCCAAAATACACATAAAAATAAAGCCCAGTAAATGACATCAGATAGGACAGGATAAAAATGTTATTCCTAAAAAGATTTAGAACACACTGGGGTCTAAATCAAAATGCATAGAAGCAAACCTAGGTATCTGTGAATTGTTTTATTAAGAGCATCACTTCTTCCCAGTTTTTAAAATTAGAAATATCTCAAAAACTAAAAAAAAATTGGAGTAATAGTATAATAATCAACCATCAAGAATTGTGACCATTTTTACATCATGTATATGCACATATACTTTATACATGTACATATATTGAGGGGGATAAACTTTTTCATATGAAATTACAGGCATCATGGCACATCACCTTAAATAATTAGGCATTTGTTTCTTACAAAAAGGACATATAACTGCATCTATTATCTTGCCTAAGAAAATTAGCAAGCCTCTAGTTCCACCTGATTTCAACTTTAGTCAAATTTCCCTAGGAAGCAATCAAGGTTCACATGTTGTATTTGATCATATCTATTCATTCTCTTTAAAGCTGGAATATTTCTCCTACCTCTAATATTTTTTTTCCTGAAATATTAATTTTTTTATATTGATCTTTTAAAATGACCATGTCTTGTAGACAGAGTGGCTTTGCCTACCTGATTTTTCCTTTTGGGTCCCTTAGCTCATTCCTTTACCCACTATCATTCCTATAAACCAAAAGTTAGACTTAATTAGACAAATCCTGAGAACTTTGGGCTAGAATACCTCATTGGTGGATTTGTTTTGGCTTGCATTCTGTTACCACAAATTTCAAATTGTGCCACCCACATTTCACTATCAGTATTGTCCTGATTTGGTCACTTTATTCAATTTGAATTGATCCAGAGGAAAAAATGACAGAATGTTGAGATTTTCATTTTCTGCAGACAATTGCATGTATTCATCTGTGTCTTAAAATATTAGGCAGGTATAGGGCTTGTTCATTATGGAAAATTTAGAAAAATAAAGAAAAGTATGAAAATACTTTTGAAAAGAAAAATCACCCCCCATTTCCTTTTTAGACAAAGCTATTAACATTTTAAAGTACTTTAATGTATTCACTCTTCACTGCCTTACAGCTTTGTATAGTGAATTCTATATCACTGAACATAAGATTCTGTTACACTTTTTCCTACTTAGTTTGTGTAACAAACACTTCCCATATTATTTCAAACTTTTTGTTAATCTTTTAAAAATGATTGCATAAAAAGTAAGCAAAAAACCCTGACTATATGGTCTTTCATATTGTGGAATTCCTACTGTTAGACATTTAAATTGGTTTTTGCTTTATTCTTAGTATAAATAATATTATGGAGAATATCTTTATCTCAATAAATATTTCTCTTTTAAAAATTGTTTCCTCAGGAGAAATTATTGGGTTGAAAGGAGTGTATTTTTAAAATTCATCTTCCTCCTAATTACCCAAGTAAGATGGGCTTAATGTAATAACACCGGGAAAGAAGAAAAGTGTTCAGCATCCTCTGCCCAGAGGCACATGGTATTAGCGTTTTGACATGATTTCTTCTGATGCAGGCAGCTATTTTCTTTCTTAGCAAGGCTTAAGGGTATGAATATTTTTAAAGTTTTTGAGAATACTGCCAAAATTGCTTTCAATTTATCCCTTTGGAAGTGTATGAATTGCATTTTGAAAATACTAACGTCTAAGAATTATTAAGGAAGTTTGGCCATTTCAAAAGTTCCCATGACTTTGATTTGGCTCACTGAAAATCTTGAACCTGGACAGGCATGAAAAAAGTGTTGAGGGAGAGCTTGGTGACTCACAACTATAATTCCAGTACCTCAGGAGGAAGAGATCAGGAGGCCCTGAGTTTGAACTTCAATGTCATCAACAAAAAAAAGGAAAATAACTTGTTCAAAGTACACTGCATGATTCCATGGCTTATCACAATGAGACCCCTTGTACTACTAATGTATGCTAATATAAAAACAGGAAAAAGATAAAGGAAAATATATTGAACAAATATTACATGGAAAACTCATCTCCAGCTTTTGATCAGGTTGGAATCCATGCTTGGCTAGCCATGCTTATTTTGGAGCAATTGGATGTGTTTATTTGACAGGTAGATATGGAAGTCAGTTCACTAGTTCTTCTACATGAAGGCTATTGGTCATTTGTTAATACAGATAGAAGAAAATATTTTTCTAGATATGGGTTTCCAATTTCTTTATGGCTTGTCACACACAGAAAATAATGTTCTGTACACAGGAAACATGACTGAGGCTGATGCTGTCCTGGCCCTGGCTGGCTACCTTGAGGGCTGAGGAATCAAGATCCCAGCCTTTATTTTTGAAAAGAAAGACATTTTTGTTTGTTTAAGATAGCTCTACAGGGAGTTTCATTGTGACATTTCCATTTATACACATATCATAACCTGAATTGGTTCATTGCTTCCATTTTTCTCCTTTCTACCTTAGTCCTCTTCTTATGGTGATTTCAACAGGTTTGAATATTCTATATTCATTCTTGTTTAGAAAATACATCAACCATATTTACATGTCTTTTTTCAAAAAACAGGGGACAGAAAGGTAAAACAGGTCCTGTATTGGGTTTGGTACCAGTGAAAGGTTGGAGGATAGAGGAAAAGAGTGTGGAAGTGTGGATGTAGTAGAAATATCATGTACTCAAGTATGAAAATGGAAAAATTAGACCTGTTGAAACTATTCTAAGAATAGGAGGAGGGAGGATAAAGGAGAATGATGGAGTGGGTGGTTTTAACTAAGATATATTGCAAGCATTTTTGTAAATGTCACTAAGTACCCCCAGTACAACAATAATATATGATAATAAAAAATAAATCAAACCAAGAAAATCCATTCATGGTGCATCTGGACTAGCACTGCATCCTAGTGAACCTAGAGGAACCTAACAACTTCAGGTGTTAGGAAGAGTATAATTTTCTTTTTTTTCTTAAGTGTTTTCTCTCTAATTTTGTATTCCCCACTTATTCCTTGCACTGGTTACACAGGGACTTTGTAACTGTGGTCCTTCTCCTTAGTAGAAAGGTAGATGTTTTTCTTATCAACCCAATGATCCTATGTCTTCACTATTCACCACAAATATGCTCCGTTTCTGTTCCAAAAGTTTATTTATTTGACTTTTCTCATCTTAAGTCATTCAAAATTCACTGTAGGAGGTACTTTGCTAAACACTGGGGATGGAAAGATGGCATAGACAGCTTCTGACTCTAAGGTGTTCACAGGCAAATGGAAGGAAATACAAAAATAGCAAGGGTGGTAGGTCCAAAGTTCCAAAGCAGGCTCCCAGGGGCAGTGACATTTGAGGTATGGCATGAAGGAGTAGAAATTTTATTCACTGATCAAGAAACTCTAGCACTGACTAAGAAACAAGTCTGAGGTTTTGAGAAATGAGTGACCTTTTGGTGTGTCTGGAATACCAGTTCCAGGCAGCTCCTGGAAATGTGACAGAGGATGTGGCTGGAAAGGGAAAGGATGAGGCTAGGTCTTGAAGAACTTTGTCATATGGAGGGGTTAGAATTGTGGGTCACTGGAAAAGACCTTTAAGGAGGGACAGACATCTCAGAGTTTTTTCCCCCCAAACATCACTCTTGGACCAATGTGGGAAGTGGAATTGGAAATGGGTAGGAAAGTCACTAAAGGCAGCTGAAACTTTAAAACAGGTGGTGAGGCATTCAGCTAGGGTCAAGTGACAAGGTGGATGAAAGGTGATGGTGGTAGAATCCATAGGGGTGGCTGCAGGAGATCAGAGAGGTCAGCTTGGACACCTAAGAAAATGGTACAGCCATTAGCAAAGACAGGGAGAAAGACTTTACCACACTACTGCAGGTTTTCAGAATCCAATCTATCTTTTTAGAGCCAACTGAAGGGCTCTTTTCCTTTACAAGCCTTCTTCTCCCATCTGTGTCTCCTTAGAGACCACTCCCTTCCTGGAACAGCTGTTCTAGGAGCAGCGGACAGTTTGCTCCCTGAGCATGAGGTTATTATTTCACATTTTCAGGTCTGCTTCCTAAACTGGATTGTAAGATTGCTTTCAGGACCACACCTTACATTTCTCTGATATTCATCCCACTGACTGTCTTACAGTGTTGGGCGTTGATGAAGTCTGCTGGGTACTGGGGAATGAGTGCTGTGCTTGCAATTGAAATCTTAAGTATTAACTACAATTAAAGTAGAGTTTCTCTGGTTAGTGCATGGTGGAAGACCAGGAATTCTGGAACCTGATCCTCCTTTTATTCTAAGCAGAAGCTCCCAAGAAACTCCACTGTGTCTAGAGCCCCATGAGATACATCTCGAAAAGTTCCAGCTTGGTGTACTGAGCATGGGCCTTGCAGTCAGGCAGATCTGAGTTTGAATCCTGTTATCTCTTTCTTGGTTGTTATAGAATAGACACATGAGAAAACAGCTCTAAGCTTCACCTTTACCTTTGTAAAACAGAGATGATACTTTCTTTATAGGTTATTGTGAGGATAAAGTAAGATAACGTATGTAACCATCTCTGGCACTTATTAAATGCTCATTATGTAAAGGTTGTGTTGATAATAATATCAAGGTAATTGCTAATTGATTGCCTGAGCCTTGAATTGGATCGACTGGCACTTATTCAGTGTTTATTACTTATGCATCTTCAGGTTAAGAAAAGCCAGGGTTGGGGTGAAGGTATGGGTGAGCTTGGGATTAGGAGGGGAACCAGTTTTGTCTTAGGTTCCATCCTCTCCATGAGCCCATGATCAGCTGACTTCAGGAGGGTCTATCAATATTTAATGTGTGGGTGTCAGTTGCTGTAACTGAGCATACCCCAGCACCAACGTGAATTAATCATATGTAGGAGGAGAGAAAATAAAATGTCTTTTTCTCAGAGCCCCAGGTTTCACGGAAGCCTGGAAACGGCAGGGTAAGCCTTCCTCTGATGGAGGACCCTGAGAAGAAGTTGAATCAGAAGAGCGAGGAGAAACCCCGGAAAGTCCGATTTAAAATCTCCTCCTCCTACAGTGGCCGAGTGTTGAAGCAGGTCTTTGAAGATGGGCAGGAATTAGAGTCGCCAAAAGAAGAATACCCTCACAGTTTTCTCCAGGAGGCCCTTGAACCAATGGATGGCGTTTATGGGTCTGGGGAGCCCCCCAAGCTCCCACTGTACTCCCCTAAGCTGACTGCCCAGAGAATCAGCGTGTACAGAGAAGGCAGCGCATACACTCTGGCGGGCAGCCAGCGTCTGTTCAATGATTACAAGGCGAATGACCATAAGGTTGGTATTGTTTGTGGTTTTAGGCTTTAAGGATAGGGCTTCCTAAAATGTGTTTAGAGAAACACTCACATGCTTCAGATTTGTATTTTGCTCATGCTCAGCTATAGGTGCCAGAGCTATAGGTGCACCAAATGGGAAGCCATTATTAAAATAATATTTCTGGGACAGAAATAACATGCTGTTGACTACTCATTGGAAAGTGCAATGAGCACAAATAGTGTTCAAATGAATTCCATCCAAGGTAATATGTTTTAATTGGGTCTTTGGCTGAGTTTTCTCAGTGTGTAAATTGAATAGAGGTGCAGTGATTTTTCAGATTGCCAGACTGTTTTAGAATTTTATGCCACAGTAGGTCATTTTGTTTGCTGAAAGAACTGAATGTTTGAAGGTGCTCCTTTTATTCTAGTCAGTTATCCAGCTCGTGAAAATCATGTCTTGATTTTCCCCCATCATCTTCCTACTGCCTGCTTGTAAGGATCTTTGTCCATTTATTAATTTTTGCCTTTCCAATGCTCATTGGTATGAAGTCTGGGTAGTTGGAAGCCTGGGAAGAGATGACAAAGCAAGTCAGCAAAAGCAGATATTACCTGGGGAGCCAGCAGCGTAACTGCAGCAGGTGCTTTATCTGTGAATTTCAATCATCTTCTTGGGTACCATGGATAATCAAAAGCCCATGCATGATTTTGTTTCCAGCTAGAGAAATCTGGAAAACACTAATTGATTTCCAAAATTCATAGGAGATGTGTATATGCTCATGCCAGTGGAGACATGAACACTTTTTTCCTTTTATAGACTCTTCTTTAAAGTGAAGTTCAGATAATTACTCTCTAATCATCTTTATTGTTAATTTTCTAAGAAGATAGATAATACATTTCTTGCAGACAAATGTATTGGACTTGTTGGCGTTAGTAAAAATATAATTATAGGCATGTCTACAATTACTAAAATTAATACCAGGTTTCTTTGAGGGACAGGAAGGGGCTGGAATAAACCCTCCACATGTCAGTGGAGTGCCTTATGTGTTACAAAGTGCTGGCACATATCAATTCCATCTATGTCTGTCACATTGGGTTTTACCTTAACCTAAGGGACATAAGAAACATAGGATCATTTCCACTTTGCAGATAAGGAAAATTGTGTGCCAAAATGATAAGAGAGCCACCCATTATTACAAGGGTCTTAGGTGCTAAGTCAGAATAAGGATCCAGATCTTCTAATTTCCTGTGCAGTTTTGCTGGCATGCTTCTTTTTAAAGAACAAGATCATCACAAAATAATGATGATTATTATAATATGTACCATTTATTGAGTCCTTATTATGTCCTAGGTGTTCAGCTAAGTTTTATACTTTCAGTGTTCCTTTTCAATTATGTTGTATTTGTAAGGTGGTATTTACAAAGTTGTAGTTCAAACAAGCATTATATAAGGCCATGGTAGATAATTTGGGGCTGCTGCATAGGTCAAGTGCCAAATCTGGCATTTTAGTAATGTGTGATTTGATGTGGATTTACGAAGCCAGAAAATGAACCTTCATGGCAGCATGGCTCAGCTGGTTAAAACACAGTCCTCCAGAGGCCATGCTGAAGATTTGGTTCCTGCTTGGTTTCATTATCCTTGTTTTCTTGTTGCTTGATTAAGTGCCACATCTCTGGATATGGGAGGAGCCATGATGGATTTATGTATTTCCACACACTGAAACAATTTGTCAATGTGGTATTTTTGAAGAAAAGAAAACAAAAGCTGGAAAATAATGATTATTTGATAGCCAATCCAATTGTAAGATAACCCCTAGTAAACACTGGCTATCATACCACATTGGGTAGCAGTTAAGTGCAGTGATCCAAAGGAAGGACTCTGAACTTGAATAGATATTTATACCCCAGTGTACGTAGCAATTCACAATTGCATAAAGGTAGAAACAACTTAAATGTCCACCAACTGGTGAATGGATAAGCAAAATGTATTTATGTATTCTACCATAGAAAGAAAGAAAAATTTGACATGCTACAACATTGATGAATCCTGAAGACAGTAAGCTAAATGAAATAGCCACCCACAAAAAAGCAAACATTGTATAATTCCACTTACACGATGTAGCTGGGATAACCCAATTCATCGAGACATGCAGTAGTGGGTTGCCAGGTGGTGCTGGAGGTAGAGGAGAGCAAGGAGTTATTATGAATGATTCAGAGTTTCAGCTTGGGAAGAAGAAAAGGTTCTGGAAATGGTTGGTGGTTATGGTTGCACTATGAATGTACTTAATGCCACTGAACTCTACACTTAGAAAGGGTTAAAATAAATTTTATCTTATGTATATTTTATAATAATAATAAGGCAGGTTTTCTGATGTCAGTCAAACCTGGTATTGATACCCGGTTATAACCACTCACTATGAGCTTGGGCAAACTAGTTAACTTTGCTGAATGTCAATATCATTACCCATGACCTGAGTGTGACAGAGGATTGTTATGGCAATTAAAAAAGAAAATATGCATAAAATGTTGTGCTTGGCACCTTGATGTGTTCAGCAAATATTACCTACCATTATGATAATGAGCAGGTTCTTACCAAAGAAGCATTGAGTCTTTTTTATTTTATGTGGTAAGAAGAGAAAGTGGTTATAAATAATAAAAATATTTTAAGGAATTAAAACTGACTGAAATTTGTAAGATTTATAAAAAAAAAGGGGAAAGGGAGAGTAACATTTGCTGAATATCCACTTGATATGCATGTTTTACATAATTTTATCTTCACAATAGTTCTATAAGAAAGAGTTTTACAAATTGAGAAACCAGAAATTCATGGTGTTAAATGACTCGCGTGTCTCACACAGTTGTCAAATAGACATTTGAAGATAATTTGAATTTAGTCTGTCTGTCTGCAAAGCCCATTAAATTTTTAGTACACTATAAGGCATTTCTTCATTTGAAAGTAGCAACGAGAAAGTTTAATCATGTCTTAATGGCAATCTGTAGGCATGTTGTCACAGAAACCAGAGTTTTCACAAATGCTCAAACACATACGTTGCCATTCTGGACTCTATGGAAGGAATGGAAAAATTCCTGACTCTATCCTGGCCCTCTATAATGCAAGAGTGGGTGTTCCTCACAGGTAATTGGATGTAACTAGATAATGTGAACTTCAGTTACACCCAGGGAGTTTCCTTAAACACAAGGAAGAATTTGGCTGTCAAGATGACTGAAACCTAAATACACCTTCAAGGTGACTTGGGACCCTCCATTTTTCAGAGTAAAAAAATTTACTTCTCTGGATATATTAGACATTGACCAGCTTAGAGGCAGGGGATTGAAGCAGGTGATCTTAGATTCTCTTAGTACATTGAGAGTTTGTCTTCAAAAAAGAAAAGGAAAGAAAAGAAAAACAGCTATAGATATGAAAAAGCTTCCTAGTAACTGAACCCCTTTGGCTATTACTGGAAGTAGAAATGGAACCTTCCAAAAGTACCACCATCCTTATCTTCCAATGTTCAGAAACTGATAGTCCAGAGTGTGAAACAAGAATCCAGTGTGCATAAAACAATAGGAAATGGAAGCTGCTACATGATCCTTTGAAGAGAAAGAAAAGAGGACCAGATAGGAAGCTTGTGGCTTGATAAATAATTATTGAAAACTCCATGACTGTTTCAAGGAAGGAAACTTGAATATTGAAGTCTTGCTCACATCAGGTTTGGACTGGATACATGAAAGCATTAAATATGAGATTATTTAACTATTGAACCTAAATAGATTTGGTTTATGCAGTTCTACAAGAAAAATTGTTCTTTCATAGGTATTTAGTTGTGTAGCAGTAGTGTGCATAAATACTGAAGAATAGTTTAAATAAAATCATCAGTAACAATGCCCACAGTTGATATTAGCTCCAGCTTTTCTGAACCATGTTTTATGTATTTTTTATAGCATCTTCTATTCTCACAAGTTGATATCATTAGCTGAGATATAAGAGTCAAAATGTTTAACCTCAGGAACATTGCACTGTCAGTACAGAAGCTAGCACAGAGTTAGGTCCTAAGCATTAACTCCTCTATTACTGGGTTTGGTGATGTTAGAGACTCCCTGATGGGAGGTTGGGTAACTGGTGGGCATCCAGGAGTCTCAGGTCAGCACCAGTTAACCACCCAATGTAGAAACGTTTCTTTGTTTTAATAGCTAGCTTAGTTATGACAGTGCCTACCAGCTGGATGTCAGCTGATACCCAGATGAGCAAACTGGAGTCCTGAAAGGTGCACCACTCTCTTTTATTTCACAATAAGAATTGTTATTCAATGCTGTTTTCCTCCAAACTGCCTTAACTGGGTAGAAATATGCATTCTTGGTCAAGTAATTCCTAAATATTTACTGCTCAAGTCTCAAGTTTCTCGTTCCCTCCCCGCTTCATCTTCTGCCTCCTCCTCCTTGTTCTGCTTCATTTCCTTTCTTCTCCTTTTTCCTCCTCCACTTCCTCCTTTCTCCTCTTTCCCCTCCTCCTTTGATTGAAGCCAGGGCCTCACAATGCTTTGCAAGTTTATGCAACTAAGCTGTACTTCCAGTCTGTAGGTTTCTCTACTGCATTACAGTAGTGTCCAAATGTATGAGCTGGAGGTATGACTCAGGTGGTAGAGCACCTGTCTAGCAAGTGCAAAGCCCTGAATTTAAACTCCAGTACTGCAAAAAAAAAAAAAAATTCTCTCAAGGTTCATTTATCCTGTGGATCATATCAGTAATCCAAATTTATTTCTGAGCATATCATTAAGTAACGCACAAAAAAATCCATAGCAGGAATCATAAATTAAGATGATAATTTAGCAGTAAATTAACATAAAAATATTTCAATATTATATGGATAATGAAAAAATAATTTATAGCAGGTTATATATTGATATATTTGACATCCATTGATATAATGACATATATTTAATATACGTAGGTGCATTTGGTATTTGGGGAGGATAAGCTGGGCTCCAGTGGCTCATGCCTGTAATCCTATCTACTTGGGAGGCTGAGATTGAGAGGATCTTGGTTTGAGACCAGCCAAGGCAAATAGTTTGTGAGATTCCATTTCCAAATTAAACAGAGCAAAGTGACTAGAGGTATGGCTCAAGTGGTAGAACTGAGTTCAAACCCCAATCCCACTAAAAAAAAAAAAATAGTAGAAGAAGGAAACTGGTTTCTTTGGCTTTCAGAAAGAGTAAACAAGTCATGAAATTAACCATTGCCTTGGGGTCTGATGGGATCACCAGTGTTGGAGGGTGGAATGCTCTTCTCTCTAATTTCCTGGGATGTTGCACAGGTCTGTAACCTGCATTTGGTGACTGACAGTGAAGGTTTCATGCTCCTTCTGTTTCTCTAGCCCCCACCTATTATAGATTTTGGAAAGATTATCATCTACACAAACAATCTGAAAATCATTCGCACCCCGATGGACAAGAGGGACTTCATGAGGAAAATTCTCCAGAAGGAAGAGGAGGCTGAGGAAGAGTCTCTGATGAGCAAAGAAGAAAGCTATGGAGACAGGGACCAGAGCCACGTGTCTCTCCCAGAGACAGAAAGCACACTTCCCCATAATCAGTACACACAGGTGCGTCACAGCGCTAGACTGTCCCACTGGGGACTGGCCCTACAGCAATGGTCTCCAAATTGTTTTGATTATGCTACTAGGCAAAACTTTTGAATATGAATGCTTAAGATGCCTAAATAGTAAAGATGTGAAGAATTTTTAATGTTCATTATATTTCAATGGCATGTTAGTGACAGCAGTTATAAGTTCATATTTCAAATATGCATAATTTTAAATTTTTGCATAACTTCTTTTTATATCTAACTAGGCATTTATTGTAGTCTCTGGGCAAAGTGGCTTCTGAACAGCCACTCTGTCCTTTTCTTGTACTTCTGTTATTAGTGTTATCTTTAATCCACCATGGGTGAAAACACAGTGTAAAGTCATGTGACAATTTTGCAGATTAATTTTGTTAAAACTAAGCAACACTATTTGTACACCCTCAAGAACAGATACAAGTAAACTGCAGTGTGTTGCAGTCTACTGCGAGTGAGCTGCATGCTACTGTCAGCAACACTGAATGTCACACTTACTCTAGGGTATCTTAAGTGGCAGAGACGTCACTCTTGTCTAGGTCCTACCTGACCTATGGGGGGAGTTCCAGTGTCAACCAGTGTATTACAAATTAGTATAAGCTGGCTGCAGGTGACTCATGTCTGTAATCCCAGTTACTTAGCCCAGGCAAATAGTTCAAGAGACCCCACCTCCAAAATGACCAGAGCAAAATGGACTGGAGGTGAGGCTCAAGTGATAGAGTACTTGGTTTGCAAGTGTGAAGCCCTGAGTTCCCATCCAAAAAAATTTGTATAAAAATATCTTTAAAAATATTATTAAAGCTTATTATGCCTATTTTTAGATAAAAGCAAATGTACTTATAATGCCACCTCCCTTCCCCCTGTTCTTGGAGGAGTGTGACTTTGGAAACCATTGCTCAGACAAGGAGAAAGAGTGCTGGTACGCATTAATACAGTGTGAGGTTTGGGGTGTGGAGGAAATTTTGGTGATTTTAAGCTAAGAGAGTAAAAACTCAGTTAACAAAATGCATTTTCTCTTAGCTCTTTGTTCATCTTTTGGGACTTAAAGCTTTCTGTGGGACTCATTCTGATTTCCCACAGGTTGCCATGGAAAATGAGTGAGGGCTTCCTGGAGCCTCAGTGATGTCCGTCTTCTGGGAGCGTTAGGTGAAGAGATAGGAAGTGATGACCTTAGACCAAGGTGCCTTAGACTCCCTGGTGTCTCATGTCTCTTGCCTTGCACATATTCCTAACTCTTCACAGCTTCTCTAGAACCCACTCTCTTCTGTCCTCCTTCCCCACCTCCATCCCCTCACTAGAGCACAAGCCACCCAGACTCTAGGAAAAGCCTCCAAGTTTCATTCACATGTACTCATCTTTTTCTAAGCAGATCTCACACTCGATAAAATATTCTTGCCATGAAAATCTGATTCTGTCACCCCCCCCCCACAAACTTCCCATCCCCGAAAGCTTTCAATGTCCTCTCACGGCTTGGGATAAGACCCAAACTCCATCCTTGTTCTAGCCCCAGGTAGCCTGGCCACTGTTGGCTTCTACAGCCTCATCTCTTACACATCTTTCCCCAGACACATGGCACATCTATACATTCCTCTTGTGTTTTTTCCAACCGAAGGCAAATCCCCTCTGCCTGAAATATCCTCTAGGTCCACCCCACTTTGCCTTCAGTTCTTCTTCCTCTTTTTTTTTTTTTTTGTGAAACTGGGGTTTGAACTCAGAGCTTTGCTTTGCATTTACAAAGTAGTCACTCTACCACTTGAGCCACATTTCCAGCCCATTTTGCTCTGATTATATTTAAAGATAGTGGTCTCTTGAACTATTTGCCTGGGCTGGCCTCCAACAATGATCCTCCTGATCTCAGTCTCCTACATAGCTAGGATTATAGGCAGTAGCCACTGATGCCCAGCTTGCCTTCAGCTCTTGAGATCACAGGGCAGGCATCACCCTCTCTGAGGGATATTCCCTACCTTCCCCAAGCTAGAGTCCTCCAGGATAGATCTGTAAGAGGACCCTGTACCTCTCCTCACACTTGTAGTGTTACCCTTATTATGCTCTTACCCACTAGGAGTTGGTCTCTGGGAAAGCCATGTTGTGTGCAACATCGTAATTCCCAGATTGGAAAAATAGATCCTGGTATATAATAGCCACTCAGTAGCTATTGTTTAAATGTTCATGGAAAGAGTTGGAATTTGGGGCCAAAATGCCGGCAGGTAGTACGAATTCTGCCATTGCTTCTCTTGTCTTCTACACAGAACTATTAAGAACCTAACATGGCAGCAGGCAGGTGGTTGAATATTGCAATGGGAAGCATTTCCTTACCACTTTAAAATTCTTTAATGTCATTATTTCTTCTAACCTACTGTAGCCTGTAGGAGCACATTTTTTCAGAAGAGGGCCAGAAATGGTAAAATGCGGGTCAGACTGCAGGCCTGAGTGAAAAAAGCAAACAGAGGCCTGATATGACAATTACCTTTAAATTCAATTCAGAAGGATCCGTGTTTTCTAGATAGAGTGCTGCAAACTAGGGCAGAGCTGTGCAGCAGCAGATTGCCATAAAAGGTTATACTCTACTTGTCTGTCCTTTAAACTCTGCTTTAAATTGCTATTTGTTTGCCCAATCCCTCATTCAATAAATGCCCAGATAAGTTTTATTCTAAAAGAGAGGGTCGAAGAACGTAAAGGAGCCTCTTCTGACCAAGGGGCTCTTTGTTCTGTTACACAGCATGGGAAGCAGTGAGCCTGGTGAAAGAGCAGGGCAAGGCTGAAAGCACAGTCACACTTGAACCTCTACATCAAGTATAAAAGAACGGGAGAAGAATAATTGAATTGAGCCCCCATAAAATGTGCAAGGGGGAAATTCCGGCTTTGTGCTCAGTGGACTTGAGGCTATAAATTATCTGGGTTTTTTAATGCTTTATGTGATCTCACCTTTGAGATAATAATAATAATAATAATAATAATAATAATAATAATAGCTAACATGTATAAGGGCTCACAATAGCCAGGTACCATGCTCAATCCTTTTTATTCTCACAAGTCCATTTTATTCTCACAAGGACCCTGTGAAGCAGGTGTTGCTAATAGTCTCAATTGTTCAGCTGGGGAAGCTGAGGCTCAGAGAGATTAAGTAACTTGCTAGAAGTCAGTAGAGCCAGTAGTCAAATTTAGGCCTATCTGTCTACCAATCTTACTTTGCTATGCCATCTCTGGACTACTGCTGTGATTGTCTTTAGGGCTACGAAAATCTGTGTGTCTGCAATGAATGCTAAAGCCCCTCTCCTTGGTCACAGACCTAGTAGGAGGTGGATTGAATGGGACTGCCAGGTTAGAGAACCTAAACTGGGCTAGGCAACTATGTTTTACGTCCTCCCATTAAATATTTGGAGAAGTTTTTTTTATAAGTTACTGAAAAAAAGGTCAGGTGCAGTGGTACATGTCTGTAATTCCAGCATTCAGGAATCTGAGACAGGAGGATCAAAAGTTTGAGGTCAGCCTGGGATACATAGTGAGTTCAGGGACAGCCTGAGGTATATAGCAAAACACTGTCTCAAAAAAAAAAAAACCCCATAAAAATTACTTAGAAAGGAAGAAAGGGACTTATATTTTACAGCCTTGTAATGTAATGTTGAATTAACTGAATGATTAAAAAGAGTTATGTTGAGGGTGACAGACAGTGCTAAGCCAGAAACATGTGACATTAGATACCATTTGACTGAAGACTTGCTCTTATGCTCTAACCTTTCTTATGCATAAACCTTTCAATCTCTGACCTGGCACTTCATGCAAATGAATTTTTGGGTCACACGTATAACATTATGGATGTATTTTACTATACTTTCTTTGGCAATGTTGACTTACGTCATTAAGATCTAATTGGAATTGAGTATAAGATGAAACATACTAGACTTGGCAGAAAATGGAACATAACAGTTTGCTTTAAGAATATTTTGGCAAATACATTTATTTTGAACACTTTAAGAGAAGAAAACAGATTTCTTCATTGTTAACATATGCCCCAAATCAATAGACTATTAATACAAGATGCAAAGACATGAGTTTGGGTATTCACTTTCATTCTCTAACAGAGTAAGTAAAATGTAATCCCTTCCTCGGCACTTTGCAAGACATAATGCTGTTTGCAAATCTTAGGCTTCCCTTTTCAGAGATGTTTTTCTTATGCTTGGGTTGCAGAAGGAAGTATGTTAGGGCTGGGGGTGTGGCTCAGTGGTAGAATTCTGCCTGCCATCGGTAAGGCCCAGGGTTCAATCCCCAGCAGTGAAAAAAACCAAAACAAAAAAGAAGCCCTGTTAATTGGATGGAGCAACCCAGTAGCTCCAGCCATCTTGTTAGTTCCTGGGATTGAAGAATGGGAACTGGGGTGCTGAAGGAGTGGCTCAAGTGGTACAGCATTTGTGTAGCAAATGCAAGCCCCCTGAGTTCAAACCCCAGTATTGTCAAAAACAAAACAAAACAAACAACAACAAATAATCAGGAAGGGTTCCCTAGACATCATTGTTGTATTTATGTGGAGGTCAATATGTAAACAATAAATATTGTGTTAGGCACAGCACTAGATGTCTAGAAGTGATGGAGAACAGGCATGAGCCAGGGAGCTTCCTGTGTAGTTAGCAAGGGCATCCAATATGAGACCTGAAGGCTACAGGCAGTGCAGTGGGAAGGTGGGCAAGGCTTCCTGGTATTGCCCTTTATTTCTTGGCAGAATCAGTTTATGAGGAGTGTGAAGCTGCCAATTTCTTTGTGATGTCTTAGGGGAAGAACATACCTAGAGGCATTTTTTTGGAGTGGGAAAGTGAAGGACTGGAGACTTACTGGCAAGGCTTTGAGGGGATCTAACATTGATGGGGAACCTGTTATCTGCAAAGGATATTACATTTACATATATTCTCTCCCTTAATGTTCCAGCTACTCAAGGGTAAGCATTGTCATTACCATTTCACAGGTAGAGAATCAGATTAGGAGAGGCTAAGGGAAGTGTACAGGTTGCAGAATTGATGTCAGATAGTGGTCTTAATCCTAGTCTAGAACTCAGAGCCCTTAGCCACTGAACTTTCTACCATTCTCAAAAGGAATAAAATATTATGAGAATTTTAGAGCTAATCTTTGATGGCTCGTAACACTGATTCATTTACCCACTTAGTCTTCCAGTTGTAAGAAACACTCTTTCTTCAGCACTGCAGTGGTTGTATAACCGCAACAAGGGGCTGTGTCTGTAGTTATTAGAAGCATGAAGTCTGGTGCGCAGCCCTTGGGATTGATCCTGCCCCTCTTCTCCCACACTGTGTGTGTGACATTGCAATGAACTTCTCAGTATCTCATTTTCCTATTTCATACTATTTCACTCATACTATTTCACTGAGATGTTGTGATGTTTAGATGGGCTGATACATAGAAAGCCCTTAGAAAAGCACCTGACATCTATCAGGCTTGTTACAATGGTTTATTTTTAGTATTTGGCAATGAGGAAAATAAAATCCTGACCCATAATGAGCTTACAGGTATGACATGTCAGATGGTAACAAGGGCAGTGAAGAATGTAAGTCTCAGAATGCCAGATGTGGTGACAGAAGATGTTGTGTTGAGTTGTTAGTGGAGAAATCCTCTGATAAAATTGCTGTGGTTACTCTGCGTCCCTCATTGACATTTGTGGGAAGCATTTGTCTCCAATTCTGCTCCAGTCTTTGCAGAGGCCCAGTGCTATTTTGACCTGCGTGTGAACAGTGAACTTGAACTGCTGCTCTAACTAAAGCCTGACCTGTGTCTTGCAGGATGGAAAGCTTCCTGAGGACAACTGTCTTCACTGCCGGGGGTCGGGCAGTGCCACCTGCTCTCTGTGCCACGGCAGCAAGTTCTCAATGCTGGCAAACAGATTTAAGGAGTCCTATCGGGCCCTGAGGTGCCCAGCCTGCAATGAGAATGGCCTGCAGCCTTGCCACATTTGCAACCAATAGCTGTGGCTTTTGCTTGTCTGCTTTTATCCCACTCTCTCTAAAGTGATCCCTAATAAATGACTTTCCCACCCCACCCCTGCCTTTCTCAGCAAGGGAATCACTGCAGCTGCAAATCACTTCCACCATAGCAAAACTCAATTATTTGATGACATTTTGTGAGGCTGGTAACATCTCCATCTGGGTCTAAGTAGCGGGGGCATTTTCAAATTAAAGTCTGCTTTGAAACTGGTTCTAAAATTATCCTTCCAGGAACACGTGGATGCATCTCACTTGACTTGGCTCAGTTTTCTCCTTGCTCCAGTGAACAAATAAATGTACACTTTAGGCAGCAGGTTCAAGTCATTTTCTGGTTGGGAGTTATTTTGCAAAATTATGCAGTCAGAAAGGAATAAAAAGGCAGATTTCTGATGAAATGAATTCCTGTTGCTTATAATGCATCTGAAATTGTCGTTGGTCAAATTGAATTTCTAATTAAGCAGAAGAGGGAAGGGCTAGCCAACGATGCACTGAATGCACTGGCAGGCCATCACAAGCAAACAGAATTTCATTCCAGGGACAAGCATGTTGAGGAGGCCTTCCCTTCCAAATTCTCTCCTGTGTGATGTGCTTGGGTAATACCCAATTACCCAAGAAATACTACTTCTTAGGTCAAGATGAGGTCAACATTTTTGTGTGCCTTTAACTGCTAAGGTTATAAGCCAAGTCAAAGCTATTTAAGATAAATTTGGTGCTCAAGTGTGTGTGTGTGTGTGTGTGTGTGTGTGTGTGTGTGTGTGTGTAATAGGACTTCTTCTAGCCTCTGAAGGATTATCAAATACACAAACCTATTTTAAGTAAAAAATGTAGCCACAATCTCTTTATAAAGGACTACAGATATTTTATGTATCTATTGGAAACCTCTAAGAGTGGAAACTACCCAAAGCTGGTATTTAGCAATTATGTTTCTTCTGTCTATGAACACACATACTAAGGATGACTCCTCTTAAAGTTGGTTACAAAATTAGGAAACACTTTTGTTAATGAACTTTTGTACCTCTAACACTCTCCTCTGGTACCTGGTGAGAATGATGCTATAAAATCTGCTATCCATTGAAATGCACTGCTTTTCTATGATAATGATTTTAATTTAATACCTTAATAATTTATCAGGATTTGTTTGTTATTCTCTAATACTCAGCTGCTAAAATAATTCAACAGTAGACTGCTTTTTGGGTAATATAAATGCTTCTAATAAAAAAGATGAGAAAGTTTTTTTGAAGCCATGATGATTTTGACTGTCTTCTCTTCTGTTCATCACTGGCTTCCTTTGTATCTGCATTTAACTACCTCCTGCCTCTGTTTATTTTCTCATAGCTATTGACTTCTTTGTTTCCAGAATACCAGAGGAAGGAGTGATGTCAAGAGACCCTTAATTGTATTCTTCTTTTAGATGTGGACATTTGACCACAAATACAGTTTGAGCCCCCCTGCCTGCCTGTATGGCTAGATGCTTGAGGTACAGTGTTTCCCAGAGAGGCCTTGGAAATCACGGATCTTACAGTTTTAGTGGAGGAGATGGATATGTAAACAGATAGTTACAACACAGTGTGACAAATGCTGGATGGGATAGTTACAGGGAGCATTTGCAGCGCATGGAAGAGATACCTCATTAGCCTTAGATTTTGTTTTTGTTGTTGATGATGGGAAGTGAACCCATATGTTCTACCACTAAGTGACTCTCCCATCCACCTGAGTGAATTTAGGGAGGCTGCCAAGTGGTAGTGGGAGCCATGTTGGCTTCTCTGCCTTACTCTATGCTCTTCAGCACCTTTACTTTACTTTGTCACATAGTAAATATATCCACTGATGACAGCATTTATTTTATTCATACAGCAGTTAGTTATTTGTGATAGGAACATTAAACATCTAACCTCTTAATTTTTTTTGTTTTTGGCAGTGCTAGGGTTTGAACTCAGCTTTATGTTGCTAAGCAGGCGCTCTACCACTTGAGCCATGACTTCCACTCCTCTTAACAATTTTTAAGCATACAACATGTTATTGTTGGCTACCAATAGGTATTTATTGAGAAGCAAAGATTAATCAGTAGACAAAACAGATAAAAGCATGGCCCCTGTGGTGCTTATGTTTTAGTGGTGAAAGATAGATAATTTTATATATTTATATCATAAATATATATAGCAAATATATAATAAAGCTATACAAAGAATATATAATGTGTCAGAAAGGAATAAATAGCTAGACTAGATGGCTCATTCTTATAATCCCAGCTACTGGGAAGGTGGAGATCAGGAGGATCCTGGTACGAGGCCAGCCTGGGCAAAAAGTTAGTGAGATCCAATCTCAATGAATAAGTAGACATGGTGGTTCATTGCTGTAATCCCATGTACACAGGAGGCACAATAGGAGGATCTCCATCTGAGGCTGGCCTGGGTGAAAATGAGAGCCCCTATTAAAAAATAAAGCCAAAATTTGCTGGCACGGCTCAACTGATAGAATTCCTGTCTGTGAGTGCAAGGCCCTGAGCTCAGACTAAGACCACTAAAAAAGAAAAAGAGATAAAAATATACGATGGAAAGTAAAACATTACAAGGCCTGGAGAGTTGGAAGTAGTTGCAATTTTATATTCAGGGAGGCACCATTGAAAAGGTGTCATTTTAGTAAAGGCCTAGCAGAGTTGAGGGGTGAACTGTGAAGGTGTCTGGGGCAAGGTTAATTTCTCCAGAGTAAACAGCAAATGCTGGATTCATAGGAAGGAAGTCAGTGCAGAGCCAGTATGGCTACAGCAATCAGGCAAGGAGACAGGTGGGAGAATGAGGTCAGAAGGGAAGGGGTGTGTGTGTGTTGGATGAGGGACTGCCCTCTTCAGAAGCCATGATAAGAACTGGGGCTTTACTGTGGCATACTGCTGTGCAGAGCACTTACTTTCAGCCAATCCGCATGTCTACTTCTATGCCCTCCCCCTAATGCTGAGGCAAGAGACCAGCAAACTACACTTCCCAGACTCCCTTGCCTGATGGCTTCCTGTCAAGTTCTGCCAATGAGAAGTACTGGCTGGATATTGCATGATGGGAGGAAGGAAGAGCCTCCCTCTTTTTGGACCAGGTTCCTGGAAGCCTTTCCCACAGGGCAGCTGCTTTAAATGCAGCAGCAGCTGGCAGCCTGGCTCTGGCAGCTTGGTTCCAACAGTAGATGCTTTCGTGGCTCTGAATATAGGTTCAGGGTAACACTACTTTCCTTTTTGTTCTTCCAGCCTAGGGTGATAGTGGCTTCCTACAATTATGAATCTTCATAACCAAGTCCTGTAATATAGTCCCTCTGTCTGAAATATCTAGTGTTTTCTGTCTTCCTGGTTGTGTGTTGATTGACCTAAGTATTTGTACAGAGGAAGATCATGACCTGATGTGTCAGGCCTCTTCTGGCTGCTGTGCTGAGAGAAGACAACACAGGGCAAGGATGGAAGTGAGAGCCCGGTGTGGGAATGATTGCAAAGATCCTGGTGGCAGCTCTTACTGGCTGGGGCCCATGTAGCAAAAAGTGGTGGAACGAGGAATGTATTGAAAGTAGAACTGCAGAGTTTGTCTACTGACCTTTGCATTTAGAAATATTGTTTATAGAGGTATGCAGAATATACATGCCCAAATTCTTTGCCCTCTAGTAAAATAAGTTTACACTAGAATATCCATTTCCTGATTTGTGAACTACAAACATTTGCTAGTGAATTGGGGGGGGTTAGGAGTAGTTTAGGGTAATATTAGCTAACTGGTACTCCCAGGACTGTAAGAATGCCTTCAGTGCTAGAAAGTATTATAATCATGATGCTATAACTAAAATCATTCTATATTCTTTGAAAGCGCAAAACAAATTAAATGAATGTATGACTTTAAAACTGTTACACTTAGCTGGGCATAGTGGAATGTGCCTGTAATTCCAGTACTTGTGAGACTGAGGCAGAAGGATCTTGAGTTCAAGGCCAGCCTGGGCTACATGTGAGCCCTTGTCTCAAAAAAATTATCTATTCATTTATTCAGCTAAACACTATTTTACTGGTTCTCACTATGTTCCAGGCATTTGTGCCAGGCTCTCAGAATACAAAGATGAAAAAATAATTAGAATTTATTTTCAGTGCAATAACAATCTTAGGCTTCTATCAACATAAATGATTTTAGCTTTACAGTTTGGTGAAACAGTATTGCTATCCATTGCTACTTCAGTGACTTTATTTTCCTCTGCTTAGCCAGGTTAGCTGGCCCTGGTTTGGCATCTGTGAACAGAATGTACTTATTTAATTTAACCAATACATACCAGCCTTATTGTATGCAAGACCCGATTCTAAGCACTTTCACTTACCAACTCCTTTAATCATCTTAGCAATGAAATTAATTCAGTTTACTGATCACCTCTTAGTCCCACTCATGCTTTTTCTTTTCCTACCACATCCATACACAGTAAACAGTAGCCCTCGCTTGCTATGATTTGGATATAAAGGGTGACCCCAAAGGGTTTATGTATTGAAGGCTTGGTCTCCAACTGATGGATCCAATCATAGAAAGGTGATTGGATCATGAGGCTCTGACATAATCAGTGGATTAATCTACTGGTGGATTCATAATTTGATGGCATTATTGCGAAGTGATGAAACTTTCAGGGGTAGAGCCTGGTTAGAGAAAAGGGGTCACTGGACAGGGGATATCCTTGGGACATATATCTTATCCCTGCCCCTTTTTGTGTTCTCTGCTTTTTGGCTGCTAGCAGGTAAACTGCTTTCTTCCACCATGCTCCTGCTGCCAGAATGTTCTGCTTCATCACAGGCTCAGAGTTATGGAGCATGCTGACCATGGATTGAAACCTCTGAAACCCTGAGCTAAAATAAATCTCTCATCCTTCAAGTTGTTTATGCCAGGTATTTTGTCACAGTGATGAGAAACTGATGATCCTTACAAACACCTGGCCTTACCAGGCAATTGTGGAAGTAACAAACTTTACTGAAAATGGGGCACATT